CGGCGCCCCCCACGCCCACCTGGCGGACCCTGGATGACTGCAAACGGCCTCCTCAGGGCCTCCCTGACGGCCCCATTCTGGCTGGCGTTCAGCTTGTGGCGGCCTCCAGGGATGTCGAAGGTCTGCTGCGCCAGGAACCTGCTGGTGGCTGCTGAGGGTGGCGTGGGGACAGGCCGCCCTGAGCAGGGGTGCGGGGTGGGGCGGGGCAGGCGGGGGCGGGGCAGGCCTACCTCTGGGGAGGGGCTGCTGGACGGGCCGCCCCAGGGCAATGCTGGTGACCAGCGGGGACGCTCTCGCCAGTCTGCGAACAGCTTCTTCCTTGCGGCTGGGTGGAGACAGACGCTGGAACCGCGCACTCGCGGGGAGGGCTGCGCCCCGCGGGCCGCTGCCCCTGGACGGGAGATCCGGGGAGCCCTGCCCACCCCACCACTCACAGATCGGGAAGCTGCTTGGGCAGCACCTCAACGGTGAACTGGGTGCCAGGCCTCAGCACGTCTTCTGGAACCTTCTCCATGGCCATGTGGTGAATGAAGAAATGCACCAGCCCGGGGGCCTCCCGCCCGTCCGCCCGGCCCTCCTGGTCGCTGTCCTCGGTCAGCCCGTGGGCCACCCAGGTGTATGTGCCGGGGTCCACGCTCAGGAGGGGGCCAAAGCTGCTGGGCCCGGGTGCCGGGGGGCCGGGCGGTGCGCGCAGCCCCTCCAGCCGGATGCAGAGGTAGCAGTGGCCGAGGTCGACGTCGATGCAGTTCTCCCGGAGGAAGGAGGCCTCCAGGCGGAAGGTGCCCTGCAGCTGCCCCTGTGGCGTCTGCTCCGCATCCCAGGAGAGCCGCAGGTGCTGCAGGGTGATGGAGCTGTTCTCGGCGACCGCGCTGGTGACCGACTCCAGGGCGCAGAACGGCTGCCACACACGGGCGTACTCGTCCACGTCTCGGTACCGGTCCTGGGGCGCCCGGTGTGCGTGGCCCACGAAGCAGTCCCCGGGCCGCTCCACGTGCTCCAGGCAGAGGCTGAGGCCAGGCGCCACGGCCCACAGCTGCAGGGTGGGCGCCAGGAAGCCGCGCTGCAGGCTGGCGCCAAGCTGCACCTGCAGCGTGTCCCCGCTGCCCAGTTCCTGGGCCACCTCCAGGAAGTGGCCGCAGCGGCTCCGCCGCACCTGCACCAGCTCCCGCCCCGGCGAGGCCTCCTCCCCCTGCTCCCGGACGAGGGCGGCCGCCTCCGGCCAGCGCTGCTCCTCCACCAGTGCCAGCAGCCGCTTCCACACAGCTGCGCTGACGGTCCGGGTGTGTGGGTTGTGCAGGGCGCCAGGCGTCGGGAAGGCTGGCTTGGAGCCCTGCGTGGAGTAGACGCGGCGCCGCCACAGGAGCTGCAGGCCCGGCTGGCCCGCGGGGTCCCGGGGCGGCTCGGCCAGCTGCAGGGCGCGGTAGAGGACGGGGCAGGGGTCGGGCAGCGTCTCCCGGTGGGTGGGGAAGAGCAGCTTGAAGCCACGGCCGCCGCCGTCCACATCCACCACGAAGCCCAGCTTGTGGCGAGGCTGCGCCTTGAGCTGCACGGCCAGCTGCAGGCCCCGGGCCCGGCGCTGGTAGCTCTGCGCCTGCGCGTGCTGCCGGCCGAAGTCCAGGCAGAGCCTGTCGATGTCCCTCACGGAGTACGCGGCACCCCCGTGGCCCAGCGCCAGCAGGATCTGCCGCTGCAGCACCACGTCCAGGTACCTGCGGATGGGTGAGGTGGCCCAGGTGTAGTGGCCCACCTGCAGCATGTAGTGTCCGGCCTGCGGCTGCGCGTCCTGACCAGAGCGGCCGAAGACGGAGCGGCCCAGGGCCTTTCGGAAGTCGAGGCCCGCGGGCGCCAGCGAGGGGTGCATGTCATCCGTGGCGATTAAGTCCGCCATCTGCTCGTAGTCCTGGCTGCAGGCGGCGCACTGGACCTGCTTCCAGAGGGAGGCCAGGAGCTGCAGCTGCGGCGCGGGGTGGCCGCCGCCGCGCAGGTGGTGGCTGAGGTGCAGCGACAGGGGCACGAGCGGCCCGTGCTTCTCGGACACGGCCTTCAGCTGGTGGCTGCTGGGCGCGGGCTGCCGGCGCAGCGGCGTGACCGTGCGCGTGCGCTCGCTGCCCACCAGGAATTCTGCCGCGAGGCTGTTGAACTGGATCATGTACTCCTTGACCATGAGGTGGGCTGCGCGGAAACCCGGGGTGCTGTCCTCGTCCAGCTGCTCATAGAGACAGGCGCCCTGCAGGCGGTGCTGGCGCAGCACGCGGGAGAAGTAGAACGCGGCCACCACGCAGGCGTCCACAGAGTCCAGGCGGGCCGGCAGCTCTCGGCCGGCGCCCGCGTGCTCCCGGATCACCCGCTCGGCTTCCTCGTAGCTCAGCTGCCGGTCGGAGCAGACCACGGAGAGCGCAAAGCGCAGGCCCCTGAGCTGGCCGCTGTCCTTCTCCATGGTGAGGAAGAGTGACAGGGCCGGGCGGTCCTGGCCCGGCAGGAGGCTGAGCGCGTCCCGGCAGAGGCTGGCCGGCAGCATGGGGACCGGCTCCCGGCCAGGCGCATAGAACGCCGTGCCCCGCCTGCGGGCCTCCACATCCAACGCCCCATCCCTGGGCAGGAGGCTGGCCACATCCGCGATGTGCACGGCCACCTCGTAGCTGGGGCCCAGGTCCCGGACGCTGAGGGCATCGTCCAGGTTGCAGGCGTCCTGGGGGTCCACCGTGAAGGTCAGGAGGCGGCGGCAGTCCTCCCGCCGGCCACCAACGCGGCCGAGCTCCGCCCGGTGTTTCTGCAGCACCTTGGTGACAGCAGCTGGGTCCGGCGAGGGCGCCCTCAGGCCGTACTCCAGGTCCAGGATGCGGAGACCCCGGTCCCAGCTGGTAGCCTCGGGCAGCACCTCCAGGACAACGCCCAGCGGGTAGTAGAAGCGGGTCCGCCACAGGACGATGCGGACCCAGAAGAGCCGGCCACGCCGGGCCTCGGGCGTGAGCCTCTCTTGGCCCACGCGCTGCACCCGGCCCTGGTGCAGGCGGTAGACGGGCACCTGCAGCGGGTCCTTCAGCTCGGCCACGAAGATCTTGGTCACGGAGCCGTTGAGGGGGACCATGATGCGGGGGTCCCACTCGTCCACGCGGCACACGAACGCCAGGTCCTGCCGCCGCCTCTTCAGCACACCCACCACACGGCCCTGCAGCCGCTCCGCGAGGCCTCCGTCGCCAGCGGCCCCGGGGAGGACCTTCACCAGCACCTCGTCGCCGCTGAAGGCCATGCCGCAGTTCCGGCGGCCCCTGAGCTGGATGGCGCCGGAGGCCTCACCGTCCCGCGGCACGGCAGACGCCCGCTCGAAGGTCTCCGGCAGGAAGGTGCAGCGGCGGTACAGCTCGGGCTCCCTGACCAGCAGCTTGAGCAGAACCGCCGAGGGCAGGTTCACGTAGTGACGGGCCTGGCGCGGGCTCGCGGGCCTGGCGACGGTGTCCAGCAGCCCGTCCTCCCCGACGGTCACCGTCACCTTCCGGCTCTCGTCCAGCAGCTCCTGCAGGATGGAGTCGTCAGCGTTGAGCTCCCCATCCGACGGCCAGAAGTCAGACTCGGCGTCCTCGGGGTCCTCTGACTCGCCGCCCTCTGCGGCGGGCGCTCCTGCTGCCGCGTTCCCTGGCGCCGTGCCTCCTGCCAGTGCAGCCGTCCTGACAGCTGTCTGCGCTGGGGCCGCCTCCTCCACAGCGGGACTCCCCACGGCCGTGATGCCACGGGCCGTGGCGCACGAGGCCTGGTCCCCGACTTCTGCTCTTGCCGGGACTGTGGCGGCAGCCGTGCACTCCACGGCCGGGCCCCCCACGGGCCCCTCCAGGATGCCCCTGCTGGGCGCAGCGGCCCCGGCCCCCTCTGCCCTGAGGGCGCAGCGCTGCCCGCGGGCCACACCCTGCTCGATCTGCTCCAGCGACAGGCCCTGGGGGCAGACGCTGCGCCGCTCCACGCACTCTCTGATGAAGCTCTTCCACAGCTTGCTGCAGGCCCCGAAGGAGCAAAGGGCCACGGCGTCGCCCACGGCCACCAGCTGGGACTGGGCGCGCGTCAGGACCGTGTTGAGCACACGGGCGTCTGTGAAGAAGTCCGCAGCCGGCGCCCCAGGGCCCAGCAGGCTGTCGCGGTTGTGCACGGTGCTCAGCACCACGGCACGGAACTGCCGCCCTGCGAGGGACGCGGGTCAGGCAGGGCGCCAGGAGGGGGCGAGGCGCCACACCGCCCGGCCCCCAGTCACCCACCTGGCAGGATCTCAAAGCTGCCCACGGACACCTCGCCCAGGTTCCTCCTCCGGAGCTCCTGCCTCAGTGCGCCGACCTGCAGGCGACACGGGCCGGGGCAGCGGGCGCCTGCCCTGCGCTGGCAAGGAGGGCGCCGCCACCCCAGCCCCGAACGCCCTGGGGACTGAGCCCCCTACAGACGGGGAAACCGAGGCTGGGGTGGTGAGAGGGGCCAGCTCACCTGGGCGCCGTGGGAGACGGCGCAGATGTATCTCTGCTCCCGGCCGCCCCAGCAGCTGGGCCAGGTGTCGTAGACGTCCTGCACCTGCTCCACGACCTGGACGATCTCCGCCAGGTTCAGCCAGGACGTCCTCGACATGTCCCGCTCGGGGCTGCCCGCCACGTGGCAGAACACCAGTGGGTGGCGGCGGGGGTGGCACGGGACCTTGCCGCTGGCGTGGATGGGGCTGCCCTTGGCCAGGTAGAAGTGGCGGGAGACGAACCTGACGATGGCTTCCGTGGAGCGGTAGTTCTCGTGGAAGACGACGCGGCTCTGCCGCGCGACCTCGTGCGCCTCCTGCTGGTAGTGCAGGAAGAGGCGGTACAGCAGCGTGTGCTCGGCCGCCCTGGCCCTGGCCACGCTGAACAGCTTGGGCGCGACCTGCATGTGGTCGCCCGCCAGCACCACGCGGGTGCCGGGGGTGGCGTAGCGCAGCGGGGTCAGGGCCTCGCACTCCAGCATCTGGGCGGCCTCGTCGATGAGGATGTGTGAGAAGAAGCCGGCCGGCACCCTGAGCTCGCGGGCCTGGGAGGTGGTGGTGACCACCAGGCGGTGCCGCGCCAGCTCCGCCTCCGTGGGCGGGCGGAAGGCCCGGCCGTCCTGCGTCAGGCAGCAGTAGCGCAGCGTGGTCGGGTCCGTCTGGCGCGGGGGGCGGTCCGTGTACATCACCCGCAGCGGAGTGGCCTCGGGGTGGCCGCCGCTGACGTAGCCGTGGAAATACTCCTGCACGTAGATGTCGGCGGCGCTGTGGGGAAGGGCGTGGCTGCTCGCTGGGGCCTTGGGGGTCGGCCCAGGCTCCCACCGTGCACCCAGCCCTCCTGGATCCCAGGGACCCTGACCAGGCAGACAGACACAGGTCCTGCCCCCGCAGCTCAAGGCCGGCGGAAGGGACAGGCACACATGAAAAATAAGGAAGGTCAACGCCAACGAGGACAGGGCAATGGCAGAGAACCAGGTGGTCAGGGAGGGCTCCCCGGAGGAGGCGAAGGAGCTGCCTGTGTGGATTGGAAAGAAGGACACGGCCTGAGGCTGCCCGGGTGGCCAGAGTCTGGAGCTGAGCCTGAGCACAGCCCCCAGACGCGGCCAGGTGAGCAGACACAGCCGGCGTCCACTGCCTGGAGCAGGGTCAAGGGCAGAGGCCAGGGAAGGGCTGCGGGCCCCAGGCACAGCCTCGCCCCACCAGCCCCTCAGACACTGCAGAGACCAGGCCCCCCCTGGAACCAGCCCCGGGCACGGGGCTGCCGTCCTGGGCGCTTCCTCCTGCCGGGCAGGGGCATCGGGGGAGTGAGGAGACCGCGCTGGCCAGACGTGAAACCTGTTTCCGTAAAAATCAGAAACAAGCCTGGCCACAGGAAGTGCTGGGCCGGCCAAGCCGCATCCGCCCTGGGGCTCTCTCCTTGGTCCCAGCCTCTGCACAGGCCCCTCAGCCCTCGCCCGAACAGCAGGCCCACCCCAGGGGACTCCCGCCTGGTGAAGCCCAGGGCGACCCCCGTGGGGAGAGTCCTGCAAGGGTCAGGGGACTGGAACTGCTGCCCGGCGTGCCCGGCCCGGCAGCCCGGCCCACCTGTTGGTGTGCGTGCAGATGAGCACCCTGGTGCGCGGCTGCCTGAGCACCTGCAGGGAGGCCATGGCCAGCGTGTAGGTCTTGCCAGTGCCAAAGGGGCCGTAGATGAGTAGCGGGGACACGGGCCGCCCGTCCCCCGGGCCGCTGCCCGCAATGAGCGCCATGGCCAGCTTCTGCTTGCAGTTGCCGCGCAGGGAGGGTGGGGCGGGCCGCGGGCACGGCAGGGCGCAGGCCGGCAAGTCGGGCACCACCAGGCGCTCCTCGGGCAGCGCGTCCACTGCCTGGTGCCACAGGCAGAAGGTCAGCGGGTCGATCTGGAACTGCACCTCCAGGATGGGGCTGGCCTCAGGCTGCAGCCCCAGGGCCTCGCAGCAGTGGGCCGGCAGGAGCAGCCAGAGCGCCTGCTCCGACCTGGCCCGCCGCTCCAGCCGCACCTCGAACACCGTGCTGTTGGGCGCGGGCACCGGGGCCACGAGGGCCGTGCTGACCGCCCGGCCCAGCAGGAAGCCCTGCTCTGTGTCGGGCGCCAGGGAGGCGGGGATGGGGACTTCGGCGTAGAGCGCTCCGGGCGACGCGAAGAGCATGCCCAGGGCTGGCGTCTGCAGCGCTGTCTTCAGGGACACCTGGGCCCGAAGGGACAACCTGGCAGGAGGACCCAGGTCAGCCCACAGGGCCACGGCCGCCAGGCCCAGCTCCAAGTCCCGACTCCCGGCCCCCCCCCGCCCACCCGCCCGCCGGCCACACTCACTTGGCCACGAGCCACTGCTGAGCCGCCTCCTCCTCGTAGAGGAACCGGTGCATCCTCTGCCGATAGTTGGCCCGAGACGGGGGGCCCGGGGCAGGGCTGCTGTGCGTGGACTCCAGGGCCTGGGCGGGCACCTTGTACTTGGCCATCAGCGCCGTCTGCTCGGCCGTCTGCTCCACGCCAGGCACCACGTGGCGGTTGCCGGGGTGCCAGCGCTCCAGCTCCTCTGAGTGGCCGGGCACCGTTCCTTCCCGGAGGCCCGGGCAGTGCACCTGGCCCAGCTCCAGCTCCAGCTTTTGGAGCAGCACCGGCCGGCGGCCGAAGTCAAAGACCACCCACTGCTTAAAGGTGCCGAAGGAGGTGGTCTGCACACTCACTCCCACCCGGAAGTCGGTCGGGGACCTGGGCTCGCGGAAGCGCTCCCCCCGTGCGTAGAGCCGGCCTGGCGGGAGGCCGGGCGCCAGCAGGGAGAAGTCCGCTCCCGGCTCCTGCTTCAGCAGGGCCACGTGCAACAGGGGGTCCTGGGGAGGACAGCCACGGTGAGGGAGGCCCCAGCAACCCCCGCCCCAGACGCCGCCGGGGCGGTGCAACCGAAGCGTGGAGCTTGGGTCCCGGCTCTGCCACTAGCTGGTGTGTGACCCAGGCAGGCCACTGAGACTGTCTCGACCTCAGTTTTCTCCTCTGCAAAATGGGGGCCACAGAACCTGCCTGAGGCCCTGGGGCTTGTCCCTCACTCCCTAGGCCCAGACACGGCGAACCCCATCTGCGTCTCAGTCACCCGGTGTGCAGGTGAGGAAACTGAGGCTGAGAGACTGGGGCCCTGCTCCAGGCCACATAGACACTGAGAGGCGGTGCCTGGGTGTCGGCCCAGACCCCAGCTCCCCACGTCGGCCCACCGTGCGGTCTTCACTCCCGCTGTCCCCCCGGGGCTGGGGCGCCTTGCCGGCCCGACGCTGCAGGAGCTGCGTTAACACCTCACCTCCGAGCGGATGGTGAACACCCAGCTGTGCTGGGTCTTCTTCTCCCGGGCCCGATGCACCAGTGGCTGGTTGCAGGAGACGGACACGCCCTCGACAGTCTCGGCCAGCTGCACAGGGAGCCTGGCCCTCAGCAGGGCTGCCCCGGACCCCCGCACCTGCCCCGGACCCCGCCCCACACCTGCCCACAGGGTCCCACTTACCACCAGGGCCTCGCCGCCGCCGCCGCCCTCATACTCAGCCAGCAGCCGCACCTGGTAGGGCACCAGCCCGTCCCGCCAGGCCGCCTGCTCCCGCAGCTCCGCAGCTTGCACCCTCTGGACCCACTCCTGCAGCTCCTGTGCCGAGTGTGCCTTGGTGCAGACGTCCCCGTACTCACAGAGGTCAGGCCTGGGGACAGGGTTAGCAGGGCCTCCTCACACAGGTGCAGCCACCATGGCAGGCGCAAAGGCTGGGACCCCCACGGCCCAATATTGGCCTGTGTGGGGGGAGCAGTAATAGGCTCCAGGCCAGCGGGTGGCACAGAGCAGGGACTTTGCCTGCCCTGTTCAGGGCCCAGCAACAGACCTTCTTTACCCAGGTCCCGGGAGGCCCTAGGCCCCGTGAACATGAGGGCCCCTGGCTCTGGCCTTGGCAGCTCATCCCCCACCCTAAGCTCCCACCCCAAGCACCCTTACTCTGGGCAGAGCTCGAACTTGGAGAGCCCCATGGGTGGGCGGCGGTGCTCCCAGGGCACGGCCAGGTCGAGGGCCACCATGTGTGTGTGCTCCCAGGAGGAGCAGTGGTTCTCGAAAGCCTCCTGAGAGTGGCAGGTAAGCTGGCAGGCGTGGCAGTACAGCCGGGCCCCGGGGAGCTGCCTGCGTGGGGCTGTGCACCCGTCCCGCAGGGCCGCGGGAGTCAGCAGGTCCTCCCGCTTGAGGCTGTTCAGCAGCTCGGCCTCCCACACGGCCATCTCCACGGCGCTGTGCGCATACTGGCAGCGGGACGCCCCGTGCCGGCAGGGCCGCCCGCGCCCCACGAACATGCAGTAGGCTAGCGGCTGGCCGTACTGGGGCTGTGGCCGCACCTCCACGAACTGCTGCTTGCGGTGGCCCTCGGTGCTCACGTGGGTCAGGAGTGAGGGGCAAGCTCCGTGCTCGGGGCACGGCCCCTGGGGGTCCACAGGGCGGATGCGTTGGGGGCTGTGCCGGAAGCAGAGGGAGCAGAGCAGCTCGAAGTGGCCGCCAAACTCCTCTCGGATAGCGTCGGCCACCCTGCCTGGCCCGCCCGACCCGCCCTGGGCCCCTTCGCCCTGCACCGCTGCCTTCAGCCACAGGCGCCGGAGGTTGTGCTCCCGCTCGAAGGTCCAGACCAGGGCCTCCTCGCGGCTGCGTGCGAAGGTGCACTGGTTCCGGTGGCGCCGGCAGCCGAGCCCTGGGCTGTAGTAGCGACAGACTTCGTAGCGGGAAGGCCTTGGGAAGCTGGGCCGGCGGCCCACCTTGCGCCAGACCTTGCTCTTGGTGGCTCGCTTGAAGCGGGCCAGCAGGATCTCGCGGGGGCAGCTGTGCTCCAGCCCGCGCAGGATGTATGTGCTCTCGTTGAGGCGCTGCGTGCAGCGGGAGCAGCCTAGGTACAGGTCCAGCTGGGCGCGCAGCCTGGCCAGGGACGGCCCCTTGGTGGCGGTGGGGCTGGCAGGCGATGGGCAGGACCCTGGGGCCTCCATCTCCGACGCTGGCCTGGATCTTCGGGACGGGGTCTGAGGCTGCTGAGCTCACTGGTCCGCTGGGACTGCCCGGAGGTGTGCGGTCTGGGACAGGAGGGACAAGGGCAGGCTGAGGCCAGAGGCACCCTCCCCCAGAGGGCTCAGACACGTGACCCTCCCCCAGCCCAACCTGACGCCCAAAGGACTGGCCGTGGCCAGCAGCCTGAGCCTGTCCAGGGAGTCCGGGCCCACTGACCTGACCCCAGCCCCAACCTCCTCAAGGGTCTCCAGGCCCCGCCCAAGGGCTGCCAAAGCCACTGCTGTGGGGCCTCTGGAGCCCGGGAGGAAGGCAGAGCCCCTGTGGCCCGCAGCTCCCCAGAGCAGAACCCCCTCCAGGGTCCTGTGCACCCAAAGGCCCCTTAGGCCCAAGCCCCCTAACTTCCAAAGACACAGCACCCCCTCTCTGTGAAATGACCGCTGGCTCCTAGGAACAGAGCCCCCCAGCCTGGCCTGGGCAGGGGGCGTCCCAGGCGGGGGCACAGCCTTGCAGAGGCCCCTGGGCAGGGGTGTCTGGGTCAGGGCTCCCGACAGGGGTGCCAGGGGGAAGTGGGGGCTCGGGGAGCCCACCCCAGCTGAGGAGGGCCAGGGGACAGCGCCCTGCAAACTGCCGGCTGGGTCTAAAGGGACTTTCGGGGGAAACGTTAGGAGAGGCAGAAAGCGCAGCCCGTCTGCGAACCCGCCGCGCCCAACAAGAAAACGAAGCCAACGGCCCAAGAGTCGCCCGAGCTGACTCCAAAGCCCGCGGCCGCAGCGGCGGGGACAAAGTTTCGGCGCGAGACCCGCACGCTCCCCGCGGGCTGCGCTGCCTCCCGGCTGGGGCTGGGCGGCGGGTCCCGGCGCGCGGACCTCCCCCCGCCCGCAGAACCCCGCCCGGCCCGGAGACCCCGACCCGGCCCGGAGACCCCGACCCGGCCCGGAGAACCCCGCCCGGAGACCCCCGCCGGCCGCGCTCACCCTCCGCCGCGCCGCGCTCACTTTCGATTCCGCGATCAGTTTCGATTCTGCCCCGGGCGGCTCGGCCTCCGCCGCCGATCGCGGAAATTACCTCACTGCCCACCCGCCCCGCCCGCGACACGCCCCCGCCCCGCCCGCGGGCTCCCGCCGAGCAGAGCGGAGACCCCGGCCCGCGGACGCCCTCGGGAACCGCGGGCGAGCGAGCCCGGGCCGACCCCCCTGGGGCCGAGGGGTGCCCGGGCCCCACCCCAGGAAGGCTGCCTGGGGGAGGCGGCCAGACGGGCACATCCGACCCCTTAACACCCCGATGTCGGGACTGCGCCAGAGCCGGGCGGAGTGAGGCCATTCCGGTGCTGGAGGGCAGGCCCACGGTGGTCCCGCGCGAGCCTCCCACCCTGGCTGGGGCAGCCACCGTCAGTCCCGCATAAGTTGAGGCACTGGGGCCGCGAAGGCTGAGCAGGCTGAGCGCTGGCTAGCCACAAGGCCAGGACCCCTGCCCAGCCCTGGAGACCCCTGCCCAGCGGGGGCCCTGATCCTGGCTCTGGGGGGACCCTCCAGCGCCCCTGTGGCCTCCTGCCAACGACAGCCGCAGCCAACAGATGGCAAGCTCAGGGGAGCCCCCAGCCTGGACCAGCCACCCTGCCATCCCCCACCGTGGGGTAAGGGGTGTTTGTGGCTGTGCGTGGTTTGCTACTCAGCAGCAGACAACCGCGGCCTCACACCTCCCTCCAGCAACAGCTCCTCCCCACCCGAGGCACCCTGTTGGCAGGGGTCTCGGGATGTGTCCCATTTAAGCCACCTGTTGGCAGGGGTCTCGGGATGTGTCCCATTTAAGCCACCTGTTGGCAGGGGTCTCGGGATGTGTCCCATTTAAGCCACCTCGGGCTGAGAATGCGACTGACAGTCACAGGGTCACACCAGGAGCCTCTGCACAAACGGAGTCCACAAAAACAGCAACAAGAGACCCAGGGAGCACTTTAAAAATATGCAAAACTTTGCAAAACGTTGCTGAGAGACACCGCTCACAGCGTGTGGAATACTATGCTCTTGGAAAGAGCACGACTCAGTTCTTCTAAACCTTCCTAGGAATCTACCCGATCTCAGCAAAATGCCGAGAGGAATTGGAGGCCCGGTGCTTGGCGACTTGGAAGTTCATTTGCAAAAGCGTAAGATAAACGAGGGAACAGGCAGGAAAACGATTTAAAAGGCCTCTGGCGGGTTTGAGGGCGACCGGACGCTAAGACACGCAGCACAGCTACGGGAGCAGCGTGAGGCACGGGGGACGCGGATCCGCGGCAGGACAGAGAGTCCAGGAATAGACCGGGGTGCATACAGGTGGGGGGCACGGCGACAGCATTTCAGACCCCGGGGGACGGTGGCTCACGCAGCAGGTTTCCTGAGAACTGGGTATCGTCTTGAAACAGAAGCGAAGGAAGGTCTCCACCCAGCACCTAACACAAAAATTAAATGGCAGGCGGTCAAAGATTTACACAGGAAGAACTGATCAACCGCACAGAACGGCAGAGCCCGTGCGGAAAAAAAAGAGAAGAAAAAAGGAAACTGATCGACCACAGAGGTACCCAGAGAAACCAGGTAGAATGTGCTGTTTATGAGTAACCCTGGCCTGGGAAAGGCCTTTCCGAGAGGGACCCACCCAGCAGGGCTGAGCAGCAAAGGGCTCCTCCTCAGAGCTCCAGGACTGCCCTGCTCGGCCGTGAGGGGCACAGGAGTGACGCGGACCAACACACGCTGGCAGGCGGGGCATTGCTTTCCCTCCTCGGAAAACCAGTTGTTGAACATCTCCCAGCACACCACTGACACGTCCCAACACACAAAAATAAAACGAGTTTATATGGAGGAGAAAAACACCATCAGTACAGTCAAGAGCCAAATACTAACTGAAAAAAAGGCACAGCTCATATCATAGCTTAAAGTCTGATTGCTTCCATATATATCGTAAAGATCCAATAAATTAGAAAAAGATTCCAAAAGAAAAATAGGCAGAGGCTGTGAAGCAATATTTTACAAACAAATAGAAATACTTTCGGTTTTCGGCTTGCAGGAGGCCAAGGCACAACTTTCTTTGGTCCCGAATCCGGCTTAAGCCGACACCAGCCGCCTCCACCAAGCCGCCAAGGATGTCAAGGTCGTGCGCCCGAGGTGCCCGGGTGGCCGAGTCGGTGCCACAGCTGCCCTGGCCCCCAAGATCGGCCCCCTGGGTCCGTCTCCAAAATAGGTCGGTGGTGACATCGCCAAGGCAACCGGTGCCTGGAAGGTCTGAGTTTACAGTGAAACTGACAGAACAGAAAAGACAAGACCAAACTGAAACCGAACCCCCCGCCCCTGATCATCAAAGCCCGAGGAACCACCAAGGGACAGAAAGAAACAGAAAAACATTACACAGAACGGAAGTATCACTTTTGATGAGAGTGTCAACGTTGCCAGACAGATCTTTAGCCAGAGAACTCTCTGGAACCACTGAAGAGAGCCGGGGAGCTGCCCCTCTGCAGCTGCAGTGCTGATGGCCGCCCCCTCGTGGCATCACAGGGGACATGGCTGCCCATCCAGGTAAAAGCACAAAGGAAAGCGTTTCAGTAAAGGATCATTTGACGCCGTCCCACCAAAAAATAGGAATTGCTGCAAGTGTAGAGAAAATGTTCAACCTCATTCTGAGGACAAGAACATCAGAACCACAGGATAACGTTCCACCTCTCTGACGAGCAAGAGCTGACCCTGCCCCGCACTCGGCCCCCAGAAGCGCAGGGCCCACGCCCTTCAACCGCGCTTCCACAGACACGCCTGCGTGAAGACAGGCGAGGTCTGTACGTGTTCGGGGCTCACCGCAGCCTTTCTCTTTGCCGTTGTTGTAGAGACCAGCTGTTGCCCAGGCTGGTCTCAAACTCCTTGACCTCAAGCGATCCTCCCCCCTCGGCCTCCCAAAGCGCAGGACTGCAGGCGTGAGCCGCCGCCGGCTGCAGCCTCCTTTCTCCTCACAACAGACCTGGACGCCCCCGTGGCCCTGGGGGCCTGCCGGCAGCCTCCCCCCACCCCTGCCATGAAATGCTTATTCTGAGGCCATTAAAAAAGGAGCCATCTCAAGTGTTCTGAAATGGGGATTTGTCCTTGCCGAAGAAGGAAATCGAGGAGCACAGCAAACAAGAACAAAAACATACGCGAAGTACAAAAATCTGTTACAGAAACAGAAGTAGACTGCGCGGCTGGGACGGGAGGGGGACTTGCTGTCTTCTCGTCCTTTCACGCCTGCGGATTTTGGTACCGAGTGCGAGTCTTCCTTGCTCAAACAGAAAGGAAAAGTGCCCCGTCGAGCGCGAGTCTCGGACCCTTTCCACGGCGCCCTGCGGGTGCAGCGGGAAGTTCTGCGGGCGCCTGATCGTGCGGATGCTGACGGCCCTTTGTCACCGGGCCCAGCCCCTTCCCTGGACTCCAGACACCCACATCCCAGGACAGAACAGACGCCACAAGCCCCCGGACACAGGGCCCCAAGGAGGACACGGCAGCTCCGTGGTCTCTGCCCGACTGCAAGACTCAGCCCAGTCGCCAGAACACACCACACAGACCCGGGGCGGGGGGGGGGTTGTTCTACAGAACAGCTGCCCTGCGCTCCTCAGAACCCTCCAAGCCGTGAAAGATAAAAGGGAGAAGAAGAGGAAAGGCTGAGGAACGGCCCAGCCTGGGGGCGCACCAAGGAGGGACACCTGCCAGGCGGCTGAGAGAGCCGGAGCGGGCTCAGTACCAGGCAGGGCTGAGGGCATGATGTGGCACCGATGGTTCCAGAAATAAAGGTTTTTACGCAATAAAGCAAATGGGGCAAATGTGAGCAATAGGTGAATCTAGATAGAGTACATAGAAAGAAGCCCCGAATACCATTTTTGCAACTTTTGTGTAAATTTGCTTAAAGTACCATATCAAGTTACAAAGTAAGCAAAATAGCTGCCTGACGCACCCTCAGCTCCGTCTCCTCCCAGGTAAACCAGGATGTCCTCACAGGGCCCCTGAGCGTCTGCACCTGCACCTGCCACTCCCCCGCCTGCGGGACCAGCCCCAGCACCCTCCCCGCACCCCAGTGAGCACGGAGGTCCCCAGGGGCTGGGAGCCGCAGCTTACCTGTGACGCTGGGTCCCGTGCTCTCAGGCAGATACCTACAGCCTCTGGATGTGACCCACCTAAGCTGAACTTTAGTGCCCTGTTCCCAGTCCTCCCAGGGACCCGCCCAGGGACCCTCCCACCCGGCCAGAAGGTCACGCCCTGAGTGGAGGGTGATTGGGTCTGTGTGGGAGGTGGGTGGAGTGGAGTCCTGATCCGCACAGCTGCGCCTGGGGGAGAGACGCAGCCCTGAGGCCTCCTCAGGGAGAAGGTGTGGGGGCTGCGCCTCCTTCCTTCAGGAGCCCAGGAAGGGATCTGGCGGGGGCTTTGCCCAGGAAGGGTCTGTGCCCCTGGGGTCTCCTGGCTGTCCTGGGCCCATAGCATCTTTGCACTAAGGGTTCTGTGATATTTGGTCCTTGTCCTCTTTCCTGGCATGTGACTCCTAAAACGCTTGGCGTAACCAAAGCAGTAAGTGTCTCCTCGTATGCCGATGAGTTGGCTGGTGGCCGGCTCCTCCTAGGCAGCTTCAGGGTGGAGCCGGTCACAGGAGAGAC